AAAGTAGGGTGAGACTTTGTGGTACAGCCTGGTCCTCTGCTGCTGCTTCTGCTGCTGCTGCTGCTGCTGCTGCTGTTGCTGTTGTCCAAAGCTGCTCAGTCCCACTTCTTGCTTCACTCTGGAAGTGAGGTGCTGCCTTTCCATCCATTTCTTGATGCTTTGCCATCCCCACCACCCACCACTGCTGTAGTCTGTAACTTCCTAGGACAAAATGGGGATCTCTGTAGGGTAGCTTTATGCTTTTGCCCCAAGCCATGTGGAGTCAGCCTGGTACTGCACAGTCCAAAGGTGCAAGTCTGTTTAGTTCTATGTGACTCTCTAACTTCAGGCCATAGTGGCAGGGTTAGCTGTTCCATTTACTATGCACCCTTGTGATCTTTAATTTGTTCCTGGAAGTTCCAATTAGAGTTCAAGTGTGCAAAAGTAAGGGAAAGGAAAGGAAAGGAAAACATAGGAAGGGAAGGGAAGGGAAGGGAAGGGAAGGGAAGAGAAGGGAAGGGAGAGGAAGGGAAAGGAAGAAAAGGGAAAGGGAAGGGAGGGGAAGGGAAAGGAAGAAAAGGAAAGGGAAGGGAAAGGAAGAGAAGGGAAGGCAGTGGAGGGGAGGGGAGGGGAAAGTAGGGGAAGGTAAGGGAAGGAGAGGAGAGGGGAAGGGAAGGGAGGGGAGGGGGTGGGATAAGAGGGGATAAGAAGGGAGGGAAGGGGTGGGAAGGGAAGAGCAAAAGAAAAATGGAAAACTGGCAGTCATCAGGGAGGAAGCAGTTGTCTCACTCCTGTGTATGAGCAGAATTTATTGCTGCAGTGTCCTCTGTTTGGAGGAAGGCAGAAGAGGCAGGTGACTTTGTAACCCAAGTGTACCCTGTATGACTTTCTTCTTGTTTTTGTTTTTGTTTTCCTCTTTTAAGATTCCAAGTATGGTGAACAGTCATCCCCACCCAGAGTCCCAGTGGCAGTGTGGTGGGATGGCTGACCATTTTATCAAGTCCTTTATCTATGTTTGTTCATCCTATGAGTCTCTTACTTTACTTTTGGTGGCAGAGTGTACCTCGCTCCCCTTTCTTCTAGTTACCTATGTCTTACTTTCATTTCTCTGAGTGTCTCTGAAAGAGACTCCTCCTCTGTCCATCCATGTCATTTCATCCCCTTTTAATGTACTTATCTGTAGGGAGCTGCGTGTAGCCATGCCCTAGGATGGCGCCTGTTTCTGCCTTCCACCCCCTCAGGGGGTGAGCGCTCCTGGTAATCAACAACTCCATAAAA